CAAGGGTGATTAGTTGAATATCTAGGGAGTAATTGAACTCTAGGTATATTTTCCTACCCACAAAACTAGGTGACCTTCTTCCCACAAGGTGGACCTTCCTCCCACAAACCCTGAATCTCAAGAGATGACAAGGAACTTTGAATATTGAAGCTCAGGATTCAGGGAGACCAGGCATAGTAGAGAGTGAGTGAGACATAGGGTTGAAAACCAGGGGTTTAAATGAATGCCTACATAGTGGAAACTCCAGCCTTCTTCTTGTGCTCTGCTACTAATGACAGCAGCCAAGAAAACATCCCCAGGGAGAAGATTGGAAGATTCATCTCTGGAGAAACTGGATGGCCCTAGAAAAAAGATCTATAAATATTGACAAAAGCTGCTTCCCTCCTGGTCACTGTGTTGAAGTCTACCAGTTAGGAAGCCTGGCTCATTGTAAAAATGACATGGAGGCAAGTGTCTGACCTCCTCCAGCCCCACAAGGAGGAAGGAAAACCAAGATCGACAGCCCAAGGCTGACTCCCATGAGGTGGAAGCCAGACAAGCCTCCTCTCTTTGCCATCTTTGCTAATTCTGACACCAACCATCCCTCCCACAGCACTCTCTACTTCTCTGCTGGGTTCGATAATTCACTGCAATGGCCACCCACAACTCACAGACCATACTCACCATTATGGGGTTTATTAGGGAAGTAACAGTTAAAATTCAGGCTCAGGAACACTCAGGATACAGTTCTTCCATCAGGACAGCCTCTTCCAACCGTGCTCGCAGGCACGCCTCTCCCTGGCCCTAGGCCTCTCGCCAAAGGCACTCAGCTTTCCCTCTCCAAGGGCCAGGAAGCGCACCATGCCATCTCCTGCTGCCAGGTCTCTTCTGCCACCGCTTCTCACCATCTTCAGGGTTACAGCTTGCTTTCTCTCTCACTCTCGCTTGGTCTCCTGCTTCTAGGAGCTTCTCAGCACAGGGATCCCAGGTCCAAAGGATGTGCTTTTTGCTCCTGGCTGTTCTTCCTTGGTGGTGGTAGGATCTCCTCTGTGCTCTGGAATTGGCTCCTTTTAAGGCAAAACTGACCAGTCCCCTTTGTAGACCACAATTACCCTGTTGCCCAATCACCTGGGTGGGAATTACAAGACCATGGCTAGAAAGGCCACACAAAAGTATTCAATCACACCGCACTCATACACACAGTTTTCAAAAGATTTATTCATAAGTAACAAAAGACAGCCAAAGATCACCAGACTTTTGATGAAGGCCTCAAACCTTTAGCTCTAATTTCCAGTCATAGGAAATATAGAGGATAGAGGAATAAATTAAATGAAACCATGAGGAGGCAAGATGGCAAAATCTAGAATGTGGGGCATTCTACAGGACAACTGACCTGTTCTCTTCAATAAGTCAGTGGCATGAGGAAACAAAAGTACTTGGGGAGAGAAAACAGTTCAAGATTAAAATATAGATTTACTTCTGATTTGAATACATGAACTTTAAAAAGACATTTTGGGGGCAATTGGGGAAATTTGAATATGGACAGGATATTCTATTAAAGCATTATTTTTAATGTTGGTACGTGTGGTGAAATGAGTTCCTTTCTGTGGCCTTTTGCCTTGGTTCTTTGGAAAATAGGTTGAGAGATTTTCCCCTCCTCAGCCCTAAGGAGTTACCTTTGCCCTAGTTTTCTACCCTAGAGGGGTTGTTACTTTTATCTAGGTTGATTGACATTTCCTGAGTAAGCTGTAAACAACTTGTAGTTTGATACTTTTTGTCTGCCCCTGGGCTGCAGCCTGCCCTGTGACTGGTATGCACCTTACAGGGATTAGTCAATATACTATACAAATAAAGCGACTGTAGCCTATGCAAATGAAGTGGCTATAGCTTACTATGCAAATGAAGTGTCTGTGGCCTACAGAGACGGGATTGGTCAGTTCGTAGCACTGCTGGGAAGACCATGCCTTGAAATTGACTAGGAGTTTGCTTATATATACAGCCAACCCCACAGAGGTAGGCAGACAGAAGTAGAGGGAAGAAAGATGAGAGAAGAAGCAGAGAGAGAGGAGGCAAGAAACCTCCTAAAAGAGCTATAACATGGGTCAAGGGCTATACTACTGAAGACAGCCAGAGGCCTGGAAGGGTCCCTGTGTCTGAGTTGATGGCAGTGGCAGAAACCTGCTGCTAGGAATGCAGCTAAGGGAGCTGAACAAACTGCTACACTGGCTATGAGCTGGGTCAGTTAGCAGTGGAGAGGCTGATGGCAGGAAGGCCGAAGGCAGATAGGCCTGTCTTTGGGGGGCCAAGAGGAGGCCTGTCCTCAGGGGGCCAAGAAGAAGCCTGTCCTGAGGGGGCTGAGAGGGGTCATGCACAACAGAGAGAAGGGCCTGCTTGCTTGCATGGCCTGGAGGAGCTGAGAGCTGTCCTGCACAGAAGAAGGGAAGGATGTGCTCTCCACTTTGGAGGAGCCTTCCAGACCTTGCCTGCATGCTTCCTGATCCTGAGTTGTAGCCTGTTCATCCTGATCCTGAGTTATACCCTGTTGCTTTCTTAATAAACCACTTAACTATACGTATGGTCTGTGAATTCTGTGTGGCCATTGCAACAAATTATCAAACCCAGCAGAGAAGTAGAGAGTGCCATGGGAGGGATGACTAGTGTCAGAATTGGTAAAAAGGTCAGAGAGTGGCAGTATGTCTGACTTCCACCTCATGGGGATCAGCTTTGGCCTGATCCTGCTTATTATCACCCCTGAAGTTAGACAGGTTCTAACAACACTACTAGTACCATTGTAAAGTGTGATAATAGTATTCTGGTTTTGTAAGAAAATATCGTTATGTTTTAGAGATGAATAATCAAGTATTTAGAAGTGAACTGTCATGATGTCTTAGACTTGCTTTAAAATACTTCAGCAAAAAAAAATTAGATAACAGACCCATAACAAGAGAAGAGATTGAAAAGGTAATAAAAAAAACTCCCAACCAAAAAAAGCCCTGGCCCAGATGACTTCACTGGAGAATTCTACAAAACATTTACAGAAGAGCTTGTACCAGTACTCAAG